TGAAAATAACTTTGCTTACTAACGAATTACCTGTGTCTTGAGAGCTCTGCTTGAATGTGGAGTTGGAATAATAGGATGGAACATCACCATCAAAGGCAGCAAGGGATTGGAAGGGTTACAGGCTCAAAATTTGGAGCATCTGTTAACTAGGCTATAAAATGTCAACAAACAAACATAAAAATAACAATGAAATACCTTGCACACATGCTTTTAAGCTGATTATTTTATGTATTTTTTTCTTCACCGGAGGAATCTCCTAGTTGGTTATCTTTTTCTGCTAGACTTGTCCTTTTATAAAGTTGTCTTTCTTGTTGAGCTTCATGTTTTTTCCATATTCAAAACTTTGAGAGTTCATCAACATATTCAAACTGACAGAGAATGTATATTTTAAACCTGTAAGTCATTTTTTGAGTTAAAGATACCTATTTGATGAACTGATCATGACACATCTTTTTGGGGGGAGGACAGAATGAAATTTGTAAATAAACAACACTGTTAAGATTTTTTATATTCAATTCAAATACTGACAGAAAATCATTCAAACCATAAAATCTGCCGGGCGTGGTGGTTCACACCTGTAATCCCGGCACTTTGGGAGGCATAGGCAGGCGGATCACCTGATGTCGGGAGTTTGAGACCAGCCTGACCAACATGGAGAAACCCGTCTGGACTAAAAATACAAAATTAGCCAGGCATGGTGGTGCGTGCCTGTAATCCTAGCTACTCGGGAGACTGAGGCCAGAGAATCACTTGAACCCGGGAGGTGGAGTTGCAGTGAGCCGAGATTGCACCATTGCATTCCAGCCTGGGCAACAAGAGCGAAATTTCATCTCAAAAAGCAAACAAACAAACATAAAATCTGGACATAAGTAGGAATGAGGATATGTTTAACAGGAAAGGGACTTCTTTGTTTTACTCCATACATCCAGAATCTAGCAAAGAACCCAGTATCTGGTGGACATTCAAGCAATTGTTGAATGAATGAATTTCTGTTCATCAAATTTAGTGCATTTGTCAGGTATAAAGAGTTACAGAAATGAGGAATTAAGAGATGCTTAAGTAAATGATACCATATACACAATTTTAAGTCACATAAATACTATACTAATAAGAACATAGGTTAAGGGTTTTCATTTTAAATGACTTTTTGCTACTAAATACAATTCATATTTATGATTTATCTATTTTGTCACGATTCTATGTAGATAATAAAAATAATATTTACTGTTCATCAAAACAAAAGTTGACAGGAAGTTTGATAAGCTTTCAGTTCATAAAAATAGATGTCTGCTGAAAATACCAATCCCAGTCTAAGACTTGAATTGGAAAGTTTTTCTCTAAAGTTATATTTTTCAGAATACTGGTGCTATGTGATAACTCATTTAGTAAAGCTTCCTGTAAGCTATTCTGGACAGTTGATAGAAGTATTTTGAATGACCAGGATAATAGATTTTATCATACTGACTTTCAACTATTTAATTTGTATCTAAATGAACTGTTGGACTAGTATATCGCTATTTTCACAAAATGCATAATCATGACTGCCAATTTTTCCATGACTAACTATACCCTGCCAGATGTTTCTTAGGTTCTGCTGAGTCACTTTTTTCCTTTTCCTCCAGAACTCTGTGTTCCTACTAACTCCTAATTCCCACTGGCCTTTTCTCATACTTTGCCTTTTACCTGAATTTTGGGTAAAATGGTTTCATTGCTGTTTTTACCATTTCACATGCATAAAATAAGTTTCTCTGAATTATTCTCAATTCTGCTTGCTATCATATATCTTAACCTGTGTCTTTCCTGGGAAATAGATATTTTGAGGAATTTGTTTTAAAAAGTTATTCAGCCTTTGTATGCAAGAAAAACTATCAACAACCTCATCACATGATGAAGTATATTCGGAATCACCGTAGAATCTAGTCTTTTGGAAAAATGCTAGCTAGTTTCCAAACTTCTGCATCTGGTTTCTGCTTCTCAGCTATCTCTCCTCCTGGTGAGATTTTCTGGTGGTGCAGAGAGAGTTAATCACTGGTTAGACTGCTAGAGCTTGCTGTCGAGTGGTGCCTTTCCAGTCATGATGGATTTGTATTTTCTTATCAATCTCAGCATTATGAAACACTCACTGCCCGGCTCCTAGAAAGAGAGTTTTCAGTGACAGATTTCATCTCTTGAACACCAGTGAAATATTTGGCTGCACGCATAGTGTCATAAAGTATTCATTGACTCAAAAGGTATTAAGTGCCTATTATGTGCTGATAATTGTGGAAAGGGTTGAGAGAGGAAAAAAAACAGACAAAAAACCCAATCCAACAGGAAAGATTAACAGGTAAACACACAAGTGAGATTAAGTGAAGTTCTCAAGGAAATTGAGTCGGTGAAATTGGCAGCAAGTACTATGAAAGTACAGCGGAAGGGCTGAAACATCTCTGCAGTCATTTTTAGACTTCTCATCAACCACATTTCATCACCGGTTATGCAAAGGGAACTCAAACTCTTCTACATGTCTCCTTGTCTGTTTATTTCAAGGACTAACCATCAGGATATTTCTGCCTAAGAACAATGAGTTCCCCAAACTGCAAGTATTTTCTATACTTTGTGTGCAGTTTTTGTGCAGTTTTGTACTTTTGTGCAGTTTTCGTACATGCAGAACATTTTCGAGTGCTTATGGATGGATTAATTAATCACTCATTTGATGGATTTACCACCCGGTCTTACTTTCCTTCATTGGGAGTAGGAGAAAGCCTGGTGATGGAAGGAAAGCCCCTGGGGTCAGAAGACCAGATCTGCACTGCGTGGTTAGGCGAGCCAGTTTACTCAGATCAGCCGGCCACAGGGTCCTCATCCGTAAAAGAATGTCTGTGAGGTCCTCTCCCACCCTCTGACATCCTAAAATCTAATCGGAAAGGGACTGGTCAAGCCAGAGAGATTATCGTTATAGTTTAGTAACTTTTTGAACTTCTCAGAGCCTCCAAGATAGATCATGGAGGAGGGAGTTGGTAACTGCTAAGCTTGACTTTACTGACAGGAGTAAAAAAATTGTGTTAAGGTTAGGGAATAATTTTAACAATCAATTTGTTCTTGTGAACACATTTCAACAGTGAAATTTTAGATATGTACTTTTTATAATCAACTGCTGTTTGGCACCATTAAAAAACTTATCTGGCCACAGTTAGATCAGTCAGGGATAAGCATTTCACAATGAAATATTATTTACCATGTTTTCTTCCTCCCTCTTCTTGAAAATAGTAATGATTTTAAGATTTTAAAATCTTGAATAACATAATTCTGTACTTCCTTAAAAGCCTGTGCAGACACCCAACAAATTCTTCTCTTTCCTGTCTAACAATTTTAATGGATATACAAAATAAATATTCATCTAATTTGTCAATATTTAAGGCACATTTTATATCAAAATCCAATGGTAAACATTTTTCTTATCAAATGGCTGATATTGACATTGTTTAAAACCCTATATGATTTCAGAAAAGTCAGTGACTCCAAGTGGAATTGCAACAGTTTCTTGGGTCTTGTAACCAACCTGAGGTGTAACTATTTCTCTTTAGCTACCTTCAATCCCAGAGAGCAAAGAATCCCATCCCAGGTGGAGCTGAAGATCTCTTAGGGAAAATGACTCAGGCTAGAGTCTGCATGAAAAGAGGCTTGCACGGCTTAGTTTTGCAAATATACACTTTGTGGGTTTCAGAGCTGGCAGAGAGCTCAAAGAGGAAACCAGCAGGGGCAACTTTCTGCTTGGAGGAAGGAAAGTCCACAAGGGCTAAACCTGGATGTGCTATTTCAGTTCAGGCAAAGGGGGAAAATTAAAATTTTGCACTGTTTTATTCTGTTAAAACAAGTGGTTCGGCAAGCTATATGAAATACGTATTTAATATGCACTAAAATGCAAGACTGACTTCCCTGGGAAAACGTGGGAAAGAAGGAGAGAGGAAACAAACAATTCTTACACTAAGAATTCTCCAGTTGTGTCTTGCAGGCAATATAGAGTAATAATAATAAAAACGACAGGAGATCCTTTGACAGGATGGCTTAAAATGCCACTCAATAGAATAAGAGTTGTTCTCATGCCTGGCAACTTTACAGCAAAGCCCAGAAGGAGAAGCCAGAAAATAATTTAGAAAAACCAAAGCTTAAAACCAGTGACACACAAGTCTGGTTACATTTTTCAATTTCATTTTTGGTTTCTCTGCATTTGGGTGGAAGTCAGTCCCACAGATGTCTTCTTCAATGTGAGAACCATCCTCTCTGGAACCACAGAGCTGCAGATGTCACGCTGGAATTCTCCCAGAGGCAAACTGCCAGATGTGAGGCTGCTCTTCCTCAGTCACTATCTCTGGTCGTACCGGGCGGTGCCTGGGTCAACTGACGCTCAGACCTGTGAGCCGAGCAGGTCACATCGTGGCTGACTCCGGCATTCGCACCGCCTTTCTCCTGTGCGACCCGCTAAGGGCCCCGCGAGGTGGGCAGGCCAGGTATTCTTGACCCTCGTGGGGTAGAAGAAGCCATCGTGGCTGGGAGAGCGCCCTGCTCACCGCCACACGTTTACTTCGCTGCAGGTCCCGAGCCTCAGCCCCAGGTGGGCAAAGCGCCCGGGAAATGCCCTCCGCTACCCGAGCGGAGCCCAGAGCCCGTGCTTTCTATTAAAGGTTGTAGATGCCGCCGCTCCCACTTTATCACCAAATGGAAGGGACGAATCCTTCCAAGGCGCCCTCCCTTTCCTGCCATAGACCTGCAGCCCACCTAAGCTGCACGTCGGAGTCGCGGGCCTGGGTGAATCCGGGGGCCTTGGGGGACCCGGGCCCCCGCCGCACCTAGACCCGCCTGCGTCCCCCAGGGCAGCTCCGCGCTCGGCAGTGCGGTTGAATCACTGGGGTGAGTCACCCCTTGCAGGGTCCCGGAGTTTCCTACCGGGAGGAGGCGGGGCAGGGGTGTGGACTCGCCGGGGGCCGCCCACCGCGACGGCGAGTGACCCAGGCCGGGGGCGGGGAGTCAGGAGGAGCGGCGGGGGCGGGCGCCGGGGGCGGGCAGAGGCGCGGGAAAGCTGGCTGCCGGCCCTTTATAGCGCGCGGGGCACCGGCTCGCCAAGACTCCGGGCTCCCGGCACCCCCTCGCACTCCCTCTGGCCGGCCCAGGGCGCCTGCAGCCCAACCTCCCCAGCCTCCGGGACGCCACGGAACCCGCTCGATATCGCGGTCAACTCGTAGACATGGAGACCCCTGCCTGGCCCCGGGTCCCGCGCCCCGAGACCGCAGTCGCTCGGACGCTCCTGCTCGGCTGGGTCTTCGCCCAGGTGGCCGGCGCTTCAGGTGAGTGGCACTGGCCCCTGGAAGCCCGGGGCGCGCCACACGCAGGAGGGAGGAGACAGTCCCGGCTGGCAGCGGGCTCGTCCTGGTTCCCTGGGGCGCCCATGTTGCCCCCCGCGCCTATGGGACTCGGCTGCGTTCACCCTGCCGGGCTTGAATGAACCCAGTCCCTTGGGCGCCGGCGGGAGTTGCAGGGAGGGAGTTGGCGCCCCAGACCCCGCTGCCCCTTCTGCTAGAGAGTTTTGCTCTGGGTGTCCAAGTAATTGGACTGTTGTTGCATAAGCGGACTTTTGGCTCCCGCTTTAACTCTGGGGAAAGGGCTTCCCAGTGATTCGCGACCTTCAATATAATAGAACTTGGGCTTGCGTCTGCACGTGTTGGCGTGCAGAGGTTTGGATATTATCTTTCATTATATGTGCATCTTCCCTTAATAAAGAGCGTCCCTGGTCTTTTCCTGGCCATCTTTGTTCTAGATTTGGGTAGAGGCAATCCAAACGGGCTGGACTGCTGCTTAGATTGGAGCAGGTACAACGTTGTGCATGCCCCGTATTTCTACGCGGTGTTCGGTACGGCGTGGAGACTGGGACCTGCTGCGTACTGGCAAAGCACACCTTCATAATAAATTATCCTGATCCAATATAGCCGACGGTGTGACAGACCACACGAACATGGGTCTCCTTGGAAGTTTCAAGATAGAGACATTTCAGATAAAAATGGAAAAAGTGAAGTTTGACTTTTTTCATTTGTATGCAGTCCTAACTCTTGTCACACGTGTGGGATTTGCCTTTTTTCCATAACTTACTTACTTTTCCATAACTTTCCATAACTTGCCTTTTTTCCAAACCCTTCCTGGCGGGCTGAACCTGACTCTTCCTGAGCTGAGTCCTGGACGGGCACACTGATGGCTCTGGGCTCTTCCTGGTCAAGTTATAACAAGGCTTTGCCCATGAATAATTTCAAACGAAAATGTCAAGATCCTTGCCGGTGTCCTGGGATTACAAGGTGAATCTTGTCATGAAGAAATTCTAGGTCTAGAAAAAACTTGAAGATTCTTTTTCTCTTGATAATTCACTAATGAAGGTTTTGTTGCTGAAAAATAAAAAGTGAGGTTTATGGTGATGTCAGGTGGGAAGGTGTTTTATACATCAACACAGTCGAATGCTGAGAAATGCATGTAATAACAGCTGTTTCTCTGTTGCTTAAAGGCACTACAAATACTGTGGCAGCATATAATTTAACTTGGAAATCAACTAATTTCAAGACAATTTTGGAGTGGGAACCCAAACCCATCAATCAAGTCTACACTGTTCAAATAAGGTAAGCTAGGTACAAAAAAAGAAAATTAAGCGTTTTGATGTTTCGACTCTCCTATGCTGAACATTCATGTTCTTAAAGCTGATTATTGGAAGAAATTATTTAACAGATGACAAAGAAGAAGGGATTCGTGGCAATTCGCTGGCCGGTGTCATACTCTATTAGGCCTGCAACATTTCCAGACCTTAAACTGATAGAACATTTTAATTGTTTTAATTGTTTCTGGAAATGATGGGAGAGTTCCTAAGTGAAGTATGAACTGTGGAGAGGTGAACCTTCTTGAGTAGGCACTGAAGTGTGCTTTGGGTCATGATAGATTAGTTGATCTCATCTAAACATTGATGTCTTTTTCTGTTGCTGTCTAGACTGTGAACCATGTCTAACACCTTAGGGAAGAGGTGGGGAGGAATCCCAATGTATGCATTGCCCTTAAGCAGTGTTTGATTCATTCATCTCTGGACTCCATGAATCGAAATTTGGTAGTATACATGATCTTAGTGGAGGAGGCCAAATGTGTGACTCACGGAGCCTGGCAGAGCAGAAATACTCCGCTGTCTGTACCCTCTGGGTCTGGGGTGGCTCTGCTTCTTGGTGCCTCAACTCTGATTGGCAGCTGTCCCCAGGAGCCGATAATTTAGCATATTCAATCTAAAGGTTATGTCTTCCTTGATGGTTTTCACCATATTCTTGGCAAGTTTTTGGTTTTTGAAATGTTCTAGGAGGCTTGGTAGAGATCTTATGAAATAGAGAATAGCTGTTGTGGAAATTATTTTAATGCTAATTATGTAAAGTACAAAAGTAGCACCAGCTAAAACGAAAGGTATTTTGTTGTTCTGTTTTGTTTTAGCTTGTGCCAGGCTTTTTACAGCATTAGGAATGCAACTTCTAGATACGATGGATATTTTAAGTGAATGTTCTTGTTTTTCAAAATGAACTTCATGACAGCAGTTGCCAAACCAGCAGGGAGAACTTGCCTGCATATGTGCATGCATGTGTGGATATGTGTGGGGGCGCGGAGAGAAAGATGAAGGAATTTCATAACCTGAAATAATGATTACAGTTCTGGTCAAACTTGTCAATTCAGATTTCACCAATTGAGAATTAGTAATTAATTTCTCTGATACAGGCCTGAAGTTTACCTTGGTAAACACTTTCCTTCTAGATGGTAAAAATTAGATTTTGAGAGGAATGCTTACCTCCTAAATATATTCAATCTAATATTTGAGGGACATGTGGGAATATATTTATGATTCACCTGCTTTTTAAACATAAGCCTTTGTTAACTGTAAGTTCTTGAACTTTATAAGGCTGCTGTTATTTAAGTGAGCACAGCTCCTGTTCTGCAAACATCAGAGCGCAGGGCTACAGCTTGGGGGATGCCAGCCGACTCAGGGTGGTCCTGTGGACTGGACAATCCCTTGCTGCTGTGCTGGAGGGCCTGGGAGCTTTTCATCAGCCTGCGCCTGAAGTGTGCACTCTTCTTACCCACCCCAGGAATAAATGAGATTCCTGGTTAAAAAGGACCAGAGCAGTCATTTTTACAGATGAGGAAACTGTTGCTCTGGAAAGTGAGGGATTTATTCATGACTACACTGATGGTAAGTGCCCATGTCAGGTCTGGAACCAAGGTCTACCCAGTATCCACACACCCCTTGGGTGGCTCTGCTACAGTCTGATGGGAGGCCGCAAAGCAGGAGGAAGAAGGAAAGCCTTGCCCACTGAATCTCCTCAGTGGGGCTTCCTCCCTGCCTGTTTTCCCTCCCTACAGTTAGCATCTTAAGCAGCTGCCCCTCTTCCCTCCCCACTGCTCTCACTACTGCAGCCTGGCTCCAGCCACCGGACACTACTGCTGTGCAGAAGCCCCTACTTTGAGCTCCAACTGCATTTTTCACCTTTGCTAACAGTTTTCAGTGGTGGTTGGGAAATGTTATTGGCTTAAGCCTTAGCACAAACCATCACCTGTGATATTCATTCCATAGAAATGTTCTGAATTCTAAAGCTGAATTTACAAAGCTTCTGAAAAACAACCTGCAACCAAATTAGTGACTGAATTTTTTAGTCAACTCAGAATTCCAAATCAGAGGGTTTTGCAATGCCTGGAAGAACCTTGGAGGCTTTTAAAGTGTTAATGCTATTAATGGCATTAAGAGGGATTTTCTACAGAACTGTCCCTTCATTACCTGTTTACACAGTTACTACTTACCATGGTACTGTGTAAATCCTTGTGCTAAATTTTGCTGTAGAGTATGTGGTCCCTGCTGTGAGCTGGAAGGAACCAAATACTGTATCTGTATGGTACATAGAAAGCCCTAGGAGACTTTCTCCTGTTATCTGAACAACTATTTGCTGTAGTGATAAAAAGGAAACAGCGTAGTCTCATTTGCTTTTTGAAATGGAAATGATATAATAAAACACATTTTGGTCATTCTGGAACAAAATAGCCTCTCTCCTTTTATCACATAAAATTAAATAAATAGAAACCAAAATATTTCAATATCAATCTTAGTTTGTGCACTTTAGGATAAAGAATGTGTTTACCCAAATCCTTTTGGCCTGGTTACTTAGTTCAGATTTTGAAAGAAAATATATTTATGGCTTTTATGTGTGAATTTAGACAATGGAATTCACATGATGCCTTGTTTTCCTCAAGATTATGTATTAATTCAACCTGTAAATACAAACCATCTAATAGTCAGCGAGACCCTACAGCCCTGTTGCTTGACAGAGCACACAAGGGCACGCACCCCTCGTACCAGGCCGACTGTGTTCATATTAACAGCATCATGGAGGAACTCATGCTGGGGGACAGGGGAGGGAGATGTAAATGCTCAGCAGGGAGATCTGGAGATTCCTGGAGCAGGTGGAGTTGGGACCTGGCCTTGAACGATGGGTCTGCCTCTGGTAGTCAGGAATGCCAAAGGGAAGAGCAACATAACTGTCACTTTCCATGGGACAGAAGTGTGTGAATCAAGTTGCAGTGACACTTCACCTATTTATTATTTTGGTCATTTAGAAGAATTTCATTTTAGAAGTCCTTTAAATCATTTACCCTTCAATGACGTCTCGCAAAAGAATGATCTGTCTTTAGTTTTTTAGTTTCAGACTTTGTTAGACAGATACTACCTGTACTGTCATTCTGTAATCTTGGTTGGGATGGATTCGCATCTTGCAAAAGCAGGGGAGGCATGTAGTATAATGGGGCAAACAGACCCAGCTCTGCCACTGGTTAGGTATGTGACCTTCTGCAAGTTGCTTAGTGTCTGTGAGCTTCAATGTCCTCACGGATAAGAAAGATCCAATACCTTCTTGGAAGGATTATATCAAATGAAGTAACATGAGTAAACGGTCCAGTAGAGTACCTGGCATATAGTGGAGTCAATGAATGATTAATAATAGCATTAATAGTGGTCATGAGAGAATATATGTATAACATGTTATTATGTAGACTATTTTACATAGAATATAGAACGTGATATAACAAACAATGTAATATGATATAATAAGTAGACTATAGTAAACAACCTCACTTTGTCTCAGTTGCCTCCTCTTGATGGAAAACTGCTCTTTCTGCCCTGTAACCGTGACAGAGCATCTACATTCTAAGAAAGATATTTAACAAAATGGTTAAGAGTACAGATCCACGAGTCAAATAGCTATCTGGTTCAAAGTCCAGCTGTGTGATTTTGAGCTAGTCACCCAATCTCACTTTGTCTCAGTTGCCTCATTTGTAAAAACAGGGCAAATTACAGAGCCATCCCCTGGGTTGCTATGAGGACTCAAACATGCATCCCAAGTGCTCAGTGTTGCTAGGTATGATGACTCACACCTGTAAATTCAGCACTTTGGGGGGCCAAAACAGAAGGATCAGCCTGGGCAACATAGCAAGACCCCATCTCTACAAAACAATGTTTTAAAAAAAGCAAAGTGCTTGCACAGTAACTGCATAATTAGTGTTGATCGTAGGGCTCCTGATGTTAGCACAGAATGCCACAGCCAGGAAGCAGTCTATCTTATTGAGTGCAAATTGTAATGTTCCATTTATTTTTCTTCCTTCTTTTCTTTCTTTAGTACTAAGTCAGGGGATTGGAAAAGCAAATGCTTTTACACAGCAGACACAGAGTGTGACCTCACTGACGAGATTGTGAAGGATGTGAAGCAGACGTACTTGGCACGGGTCTTCTCCTACCCGGCAGGGCATGTGGAGAGCACAGGTTCTACGGAGGAGCCTCCATATGAGAACTCCCCAGAGTTCACACCTTACCTGGAGAGTAAGTCGCTTGGGCTGTACCACTGTTCATTCTTGTTATAAACGTCTGAATATTCTTGTGATCTGATACCTTTAGGGGCTACTAAATTAAAAATATTTACTATTTTTTTCTCGGAAACTGGTATGTAACACAGCCCTCTTCACACATTCCAGATGTGGCAGGAGGTTCACAGAATAAGAACTTTGGAGCTGATGACAGTGTCATCAAGTAACTTTCTCCCCGAGTCTGTCCCCAGACCCTGTTACTGTCCTCAGTAACCACCTGAATGTGTGTTGGGAGAGGGCAGGCCAGGGAAGGGGGTAGGGATAGGAAATCCACCAAGGCCGGGGTTTTAGCTTTTCCCTATATGTATCATATATCCTGATTTTTCTGTCCCATTATCATACCAAAAATCCCAGTTGAGGATTTTTCCCAAATGGTCATAAATCGATGAGGAAAGTCCATGGCTTCCCTCTGAGCCCATCATTAGCCTAATCATGCTGACCTTTTCCAATCACTTGGCCGTGATTTGAGCTCCATGGTGTGCCAGCACCTGCCCAGCCATCGGCCTGTCACCCTCGTTCTGCTTTTGGGAAGGTGGACTACTTTCCTCCTCAGCCTTTGCCCCTGTAAGCTGGCCCTAGGAGCCAGTAAGAGAATGAAGAGAATTCCTGTCAGGTAGGAGATTTAAATTCTTTTGCCGCAACTGTGGCTCTGATCTAAGCATTTCAGATAAACGCGTGTAGCACATTGAGTAGAGTGACATGAGCTTCTCTTGTAGGGCCAGCTGGTTAGAATGAAGGTGTTGTGTTAGTGTTAGGCCCAGCGAGAGAGAACAGTTTCTCAAGGTAGGAAAGGTGGAGAAAGGGGGGGACAGACAACCAACCAGCCATCCTCCTCTGCTATCTACTTTGAGGGTTGAAATAGAGGGCCTGACCCTAGGTGAATGTGGCTGCCTTCCCAGAGCCCCCATTTGCAAAACCCTCCAGACCCCTGGGTGCTTCTGCCTGTGTCTCTTGTGGCACCAGGCAAGAATGTAGCGGCGTCAGCAGTCCCTCTGGTGACTGCGGCATGGTTGACATTCATTTCCCGCCTAGTTAATGGCATCCTCATGATTCTCTTTTATATTAATAGTTCTTGAGTTTTTTGTAAGCTACTTCAAATCCTTTGTTGGTGCAAGATAGAAAATATTTTATATGTTTGTTTTGCATGTGCACATGCATATTTGGCCTGTGAATTGATGTTTGTTTTCCTGTCATTTAACCAAAGCATATGAGATAATTGAGCCATTGTAGAGACCCAGTGGTTAAATTGGCTTCTCGAGGTACCAAGGACATTTCCTGGGCTTTCTCATAGCCCTACATTTTTTTGGACCTAAAATGTTATAGTTTATGCTACCACCCTGTTCAATATAGTAGCCACTAGCCACATGTGGCTGTTGACCACTTGAAATAATGGCTAATGCTGTAAGTATAAAGTATACACTGGAACTTAAGAAGTATAGAATATCTCAAAAATTTTTAATATTGATTACATGTTAAAATGATTATATTCCAGATATATGCAGTTGACTCAAGCAATGCATGGCTGAGAGGCACCGACTCCCTGTGCAGTTGAAAATCCGAGTATAACTTTTAACTCTGCAAAAACTTAACTACTGATAGCCTGTGTATTAGTTGACCGTTGACTGGAGCCTTACCAATAAGACAAACAGTCAATTAACACATATTTCATATGTTACGTGCATTATATCCTGTATTCTTACAATAAAGTAAGCTAGAGGAAAGAAAATGTTATTAAGAAAATTATAAGGAAGAGAGGCTGGGCATGGTAGCTCACGCCTGTAATCTCAGCACTTTGGGATGCTAAGGCAGGTGGATTACTTGAGGTCAGGAGTTCAAGACCAGCCTGGCCAACATGGTAGAACCCCATCTCTACTAAAAATACAAAAATTAGCTGGGCATGGTTGTGGGTGCCTGTAATCCCAGTTACTCGGGAGGCTGAGGCAGGAGAATCATTTCAACCCAGGTGGAGGAGGTTGCAATGAACTGAGATTGTGCCACTGCACTCCAGCCTGGGTGACAGAACGAGACTCTGTCAAAAAAAAAAAAAAAAGGAAGGAAGGAAGAAAGAGAGAGAGAGAGAGAAAGAAAGAAAAAAGAAAGAAAGAAAAGACAATTATAAGGAAGACAAAATATATTCACTATTAATTAAGCAGAAGTGGATCATCATAAAGGTGTTCATCCTCGTCATCTTCATGTTGAGTAGGCTGAGGATGAGGAGGAGGACAAGGAAGAGGAGGAAGAGGAGGAAGAGGAGGAAGAGGAGGGGCCATGGCAGGAGAAGAGGTGGAGGAGGTAGAAGGAGGCAGGCACACTTGGTGTAACTTTTATTGAAAAAAATTTGCGTATAAGTGGATCCACAGAGTTCAAACCCATGTTGTTCAGGGGTCAACTGTCCTTGGTTAACTAAAATGTATTATGAAAATTAATTTCACCTGTTCCTTTTTACTTTTTCTAATGTGACTACCAGAAAATTTAAAATGATATCTGAGGCTCCATTGTCTTCCCCTTGGACAGCACTGCCACAGAATGTCTCAGGATTCAGCTCCGGGCCGCCACGCCTGCTTCTCTCAGGCAGCTGGTTCTATGTAGATGTTTTATATGAGAGATAATTAAGTTGTCAATTATGAAAATGAAACAGGATTTGACTTTGTACATAATTCTTTGGTTCTAACCAAGCTCATTTCCTTTGTGTCAGCAAACCTCGGACAGCCAACAATTCAGAGTTTTGAACAAGTGGGAACAAAAGTGAATGTGACAGTACAAGATGAATGGACTTTAGTTAGAAGGAACGACACTTTCCTAAGCCTCCGGGATGTTTTTGGCAAGGACTTAATTTATACACTCTATTATTGGAAATCTTCAAGTTCGGGAAAGGTGAGCATTTTTTAATTTGTTTTTATGACCTGTTTTAAATTGTGGATACTTGGGTTTTACAGCCCATTTCTTCCCCAATTCAAAAAAAGCAGAACAGGGTTGTTGAGAAGGTGGTGGAGTAGAAGGGGGAGCACCCACTGTGGGGAGGGGTGGACAACAGGCCTGGTCTTACCTGTGACTCTCCATTACCTTGTGACTCTGGGCAGGGCCCCCGCAGAGTCCCAGGTTCCTCAGCCAACCGCTGGATCCGGCCATCTCTAAAGGTCCCCCACACTCACATTTCTCCCTCTATTGAGGATCCCGGGCACAAAATGTGTTTTTGGTTCAATGCATAATACTCCCTTCCTTTTTCTTTTACTGCAGATATCTTCTAAAGGGGCTAAATAGGGCTCAATATACCTAAATTGGATCTTCTCAGTCTTGGAAAAGGCATTATTAGCAGTGATCAAGGGAAACTGATTAGCGAAGTCACTTCTAATCCTTCACGTGTCAGCTATGTTCATGTACACTTTGCTTAGAAACTAGGTTTTTACTTCTGCAGTGACTTAAGGAAGGGGAAAGAATTGACTCTGAGCCCAGATGAATTAAGAACTCTATCTTTTTACAGAAAACAGCCAAAACAAACACTAATGAGTTTTTGATTGATGTGGATAAAGGAGAAAACTACTGTTTCAGTGTTCAAGCAGTGATTCCCTCCCGAAGAACAGCTAACCGGAAGAGTACAGACAGCCCCGTCGAGTGTATGGGCCATGAGAAAGGGGAATCCAGAGGTGAGTGGCTCTGCTTGCGTGGGAGTGTGGGTGCCTTCTGGAGGAGTAGCTCCACCCTCAGGGCTGGGATGTACTTCCTTGGTTAAATATTCAGGAAGACAAACTGCCTGGAGGTTTTTTTGTTGTTGCTTGTTTTGGTTTTGATTTTGCTCTTGGTACTCTTAAGATTTTGGACATTTAGAAATGCTTCTGTGTTGTTTGAGCCCTTGTGTTAGCAAGGGTTTTCTTGAGCACCTACCATGTGCTAAGCCCTCTGCTGAGCCCTGGATACACAAACTATGTTTAGGACTTAGCATCAAGTCACAGATTTCCCTGGGCATTTTTTCATGCTTAAATTCTAATTCTGGGGTGGCTTCTGGACCAGCTGCAGCAGGACCCGGTAGACATTTGTGAGTACCCTTGTTGCCACAGAGGCTACAGAGGCTAACCCATCAAGGGAAGGGATTGAGTATATCAGATATACCCGCATGCATGTGTGCATATGGCTGACACGTGTGTGTCCACGCGTGTGCAGATGTTGGGAGCTCAGGCACATTGTGCGGGGAACGGTCCCTAACCGGAAGTGCTGTGGGCATTCAGACGTACAGGAAGCTGCAAGACTGTGCATCTCGCTCCATGCCTTACGAGGAAAGTATTCTGAGTACTTTCAGTGAAGAAAAGAGTCAGGGGATATAAACGATGGCTTACGCAGGGTGTGGTCGCTCACACCTGTAGTCCCAGCACTTTGGGAGGCCCAGGCTGGCAAATCTCTTGAGGTCAGGAGTTTGGGACCAGCCTGGCCAACATGATAAAACTCCAGCTCTATTAAAAATACATAAAGTAGCTGGGCATGGTTGCACGTGTCTGTAGTTCCAGCTACTCAGGAGGTTGAGGCAGGAGAATTGCTTGAATCTAGGAGGCGGAGGCTGAAGTGAGCTGAGATTGCATCACTGCCCTCCAGTCTGGGTCACAGAGCAAGACTCCATCTCAAAAAAAAAAAAAAAAAAAAGAAAAGAAATGATGGCCTATCTCCAGGTGAAGATGATATTTGAACATTTTAAAACACTTTAAATAAACTGTTCTCTCCTGTTTATTGCCACTGATGGGAGAGGTTTCTCTTTGCCTCTGGTCCTGCTTCCCTCTGGGCCATCCTACCCACAGCCTTCAGTCATTGTCCTAAAGCCTGGCTCTAATTCCAGTGCCTCTCCTTTTGTGCACACACACACTTGTCTGCTTCCTTGGCCCTTCTCTATCTTGGAGAGGCATTTCAAATGCCCCTTCCAGCAGGAAGCCTTCCTACTGCACCAACTAGTTACTATCTCTTCTTCACCTGAATCCTGGTAGCACTTTGGATATCCCACTTTGCACTTAGGGTTCACCTTCTACTATAATCATTGCCATCAATCTCAGCATCATTTTTAGGCACTTCTTTCCAGCCGTTGTTCTTACCTCCAACTACATATCTTTTCTGGACTGCACATTATTCAATTTATTAAATACCCATTAAATGTGTTTAGCCATTGTCAATTACTCTGAAACGTTCAGGGTTTGACAAATTCTTTCCTAATCTAAGTGTGGTGGAAAGAGTGAAAGAAAGAAATTTCAAATTGCACAAAAATAGGATGGTGTAATTTGGGGTTATGCCCTCAATTTTGCCCACTGATAAATGGGATTTGAGCTCACCAAGTTGACTAGATGCACTTTATTTTTCAGAAATATTCTATATCATTGGAGCTGTGGTATTTGTGGTCATCATCCTTGTCATCATCCTGGCTATATCTCTACACAAGTGTAAAAAGGCAAGAGTGGGGCGGAGCTGGAAGGAGAACTCCCCACTGAATGTTGCATAAAGGAAGCACCGTTGGAGCTACTGCAAATGCTGTATTGCACTGTGACCGAGAACTTTTAAGAGAATAGAATACATGGAAACACAAATGAGTATTTCGGAGCATGAAGACCCTGGAGTTCAAAAAAAGCTCTTGATATGACCTATTACTACCATTAGCATTCTGGTTTTGACATCAGCATTAGTCACTTTGAAATGTAACGAATGGTACTACAACCAATTCCAAGTTTTAATTTTAACACTATGGCACCTTTTGCACATAACATGCTTTAGATTATATATTCCGCACTCAAGGAGTAACCAGGTCATCCAAGCAAAAACAAATGAGAAAATGCCTTAAAAAATCCTGGGTGGACTTTTGAAAAGCTTTTTTTTTTTTTTTGCTTTTTTTTTTTTTTTTTTTTTTGAGATAGAGTCTCGCTCTGTTGCCCAGGCTGGAGTGCAGTGGCATGATCTTGACTCACTGCACCCTCCATCTCTTGGGTTCAAGCAATTCTCTGCCTCAGTCTCCCGAGTAACTGGGATTACAGGCACCCGCCACCACGCCCGGCTAATTTTTGTATTTTTAGTAGAGATGGGGTTTCACCATCTTGACCAGGCTGGTCTTGAATTCCTGACCTCAGGTGATCCACCCACCTCGGCCTCCCAAAGTGCTAGGATTACAGGCGTGAACCACTGTGCCCAGCCAAAAAGCTTTTGAGAGGCTGACTTCAATCCATGTAGGAAAGTAAAATGGAAATTGGGTGAATTTCTAGGACTTTTCTAACATATGTCTGTAATATAGTGTTTAGGTTCTTTTTTTTTTTTCAGGAATACATTTGGAAATTCAAAACAATTGGCAGACTTTGTATGAATGTGTTAAGTGCGGGAGACGTCGGTATTCTGGGCACCTTCCTATATGCTTTACAGTCTGCACTTTAACTGACTGAAGTGGCGTTAAACATTTGAGAGCTAACTCTATTTTTATAAGACTACTATACAAACTACAGAGTTTATGATTTAAGGTACTCAAAGCTTCTATGGTTGACATTGTATGTATAATTTTTTAAAGGGTTTTCTATATGGGGATTTTCTATTTATATAGGTAATATTGTTCTATTTGTATATATTGAGATAATTTATTTAATATACTTTTATATAAATAAAGGTGACTGGGAATTGTTACTTATTCGATCTTCCATTTATTATTTATGTATGGTTTGGTGTTTGTATTAGCTCTACTACAGTAAATGACTAAAATTGTCAGTGGCTTATAACAACGTATCTTTTTCACTTACAATACATTTTGGTGACTGTAGGCTGACTGCACCTCTTCTCAATGTCTTCTCATTGTAGGATGCAAACCAATGGAGAAGCCCCTAATTAGGTCAGGGCAGAGGGAAAAACAAAAAACTGGTAGAAACCAGCAACCACAGCTTCAAGCTTTAAGCCCATCTCCTACTCTTCTGCTCTGTACGGGCCCATTGTCACTTCTGTTCACATGCTGCTGCCCCAAGCAAGTGACCAAGCCTGACAATACTTTGCCTACTGGAGTCACCACAAGGCACATGACAGGGGGCAGGGATGTGGTCTTACAGGGAAGGGAAAAGATAATGCTCTCTACTGCAGACTTGGAGAGATTTCTTTCCATTGGCAGTAGTTTGACTAATTGGAGATGAGAAAAAAAGAAACATTCTTGGGATGATTGTAGTGAAAGAAAATTAGGTAAAAGGACAATATAGGATAGAGAGAGATACAAGTGGAATGAGATCTCTAGAGTCAATTAAAAGCAAGCTAGATCGAGAGCTTTTGGAGGGCAGGGACTGGGCCTAGCTCATGGTTTATAGCTTTTGAGGGTGACTGCACAGTGGACTCAGTCAGTCATGGCTGAATTGAGTTGACTTTATTATCTCTAGAATGTAGTTATCCATTCAAATGCAAAACAGCCTTATTCTCTGAACTGTAGTAAAAGAGGATTCTAACTAGAGATGAAAAAGGTTCTTGGCACCTACTGGGCCACAAAACTACTTTTGCTTCCCACTGTGGAAGGGGGCACTGTTACCATCTAGGAAAAACAACCAGATGGCACGCCTACTCAGAAGTGGTTCCGCAAAGAAATTGAACAAGCATTCAGATGAGCAGCCTCAGCTCACTACCTAGCTAGTAATAAATTTTAAGTCCATTTTGTTCCTTTGCACCAAAGAAATTGAACATTGTCAATAAAATTCCAAGCATGAACTGTTTTATGTAACACCACATCCTAAGGAAGAATGCCTGAAACAAACCTTTGATAGCCTCATAAAAATGATAGCCATTTTGGAGAAATTATGGAAAACAGACCAGTGGTTGGTTTATTTGGTTGGTTTTGTTTATTATTACTTTTCTTGTTGTTGTTGTTGCCATCAACGCAGATGCTGGAGAGGCTGAATCTTGCACTGTTGTAGTGTTTTGTTATACCAGAGAAAAGGGATGTGTTTGCAGCAGAGTCAACAAAAGAGAAACTGGCATGGGGGCACATCCTCAAGGAAGGGTGCTTCAACCATTATCTTGAATTCCTGTTCACATGGGTCTACCTGGAACAAAGAGCTTAGTGCATTACATGAGGAGGCAAAACAAGCTACAGCAGAAGGTGCCTATCCAGATATTTCCCTGCCAGGATTAATTATAGCATTATGTAATTTCTTGGCTTCATTATCTAAGGAATTTGAATTATTCCACTAAGGAAAATACTGGCAGGTTGAAAACAGGTCTGGGTACTAATGAGGAATCTGGCTGATCACAAGGAAGGGATTCATTATAGACGGGAATGAGGCTGAATTGCAATAATCAGAAAGCTTCCACACAGCAAATGTTAACCACTCCCTACTTTGCTACATCCCTCCGCATTGCTGAGACCTACCAGCCGCTACTAAAAATCAGCACTGTGATTGACACTGGAGCAGAAACCATACTACAGACTGTTGGCTGCTATCCAGAAACTGCTGCCCTCCAGTGGACCAAATTATACTTCATTACTTGACCAGTAATGTACCCCATAGAGCTAATTGTTAGTAAACCAAACTATCACCCATTCTTTGTTTTGTTTTGATTTTGTTGTTTTGTTTTGTGAGACAGAGTCTGGCTTTGTCGCCAGGCTGGAGTGCAGTGGTGAGATCTCGGCTCACTGCAGCCTCTCCCTCCCAGGTTCAAGCGATTCTTGTTCCTCAGCCTCCTGAGTTGCTGGGATTACAGGTGTGAGCCACCACGCCTGGCTAATTTTTGTATTTTTAGTAGAGATAGGGTTTTGTCATGTTGGCCAGGTTGGTCTCGAACTCCTGACTTCAAGTGATTCACCCACCTTGGCCTCCCAAAGTGCTGAGATTATAGGCGTGAGCCACCGTGCCCAGCCCTTTCATGCATTCTAAAGATATTTTTCCAATGTTAAATTATTAACTGAATTTGGTTTACATATAAGAAACTAATACTCATGAAATCCAAACACATTTTAGCTTAGTTACAGCTGATGGCTTATAATCTAAGGAACTGTCCCTTAAACAATTATCTCTATTCATCAAATGGTGAATAAACTCATTCCCAAATGCTCTTTTAATCTGTTCTATGATATGTGTATTTAATTGTGTGATTTACCTCCAATAGTTGCTTGGAAGGTTGATTACTGTTATGACATCGTCTGACTTTCGTTCAGATACTTAGAATGAATGCTTATGCTCTCCTTTCCCACAGCCCTTGCTTTTCAACTGTGATCTAGGTGATTCCAGCTTTGCCAGTCAGCACATTCCTTCTTCATGGCTGCAAAAATTGGTTTAGAGGTAGGCATGTGACCTAACCAAGCCTAAGAAGAGTGTATATCAAGGCTTTCTCTGGGAATGGCAGGATGCTCTTTCTTGATGAACATAATGAAGAGACGTAGCCACAAGAGCTGCTGGCAGCCGTCTTGAGACCACAAAGGGAGCCAGCTTTACGTGGAGCTGACATATTGGAGAGCAGTGCAGAGCAATGGTAAAAAGTGAAGTCTTTGCTTTTCATTCATTTGGCAAGACCTTCGAATTTCACATTTGTTTCACATGTGTTTGTAATCACTCTTTGAGACATGTTATAGAGGACTGCTTAAAAAAAAAAAGAAAAAAGAAGTGAAGTCTTTGGTGACAGCACCAAGCTGCTAGATCAAGCCTTGCTCAAAGTGCAACCCATGGACTTCTCACTGGACATCACCTGACTAATTATTTAAGCGAGCTGAGTCAGTTTTTCTGTTCCTTGCAGTCAAAAGCACCCTACCATGCTGTATAAGCACTGACCATCGAATATAAACAGAAAGAGAAGGTGCCTAGAATGTGAATTTATAGTGTAAAATAACATTTCATTTTCATGCCTTTTCAGTTATTTAATGACTGCCCCCTAAAATTATCCCTTCATTCCAGCCGTATAAATTCTCCCGTATTATTTGATCATTCCTAGCAGAAGGTAAACATCCTGTATTATTTTCTATCTTATAAAAAACAAATTTCCTTTGATCCCTGGAATCCCTCATCTGGATTTCCTCCTTAACTTCCTATTCCCTCTTGGACACCATCTTCTTTCCAACTTCTAAATATTGGATTATCTTAGTGCTTGAACTAAGATAATTAGTTCTCATTCATTCTCTCATTCTCTATCAATAATCACTCTCTAGGTAATATATTCAAGTCCATGGCTCTATTATCAAGCTCTATCATGCCAGATGCCCATAATATCTAGATGCTGATGACTCCCAAATACATGTCACAGCTCCCAACCTCTTTTCCGAACTCCAGAGCTGCACTGTTGATCCAAATACGTACACAAACTCTCTCCTTGGATAGCTAACAGGCATCTTAATCTCAATACATGCAAAGAGAATCTTTAATTTCTCCCAAACCCAAAACTTGTTTCTCCCCCAGTCCTTCCCATTTTAAGAAACAGCCACCATTGGCTCAGGCCAAAACTTCTTGGTGTTATCATTGACTTCTCTTTCTTCTCCCATGCCACATTCAATCCATCAGCTAAGCCTGCTATCTCTACCTTTAAAATACACCCCATTTCCAAAGGCCACCTCCTCTGCTCTTTCCCTACTTCAAGCCACTCTCCTCTCTCACTGGATGACCGCAATAGCCTTCCAACTGGTCTCCTGTTCCCACAGTTACTCCCCTACAGTCTATTTTCCTCGCAACATCTAAGTAACTCTTTTACAAATGATAAATTATGTTTTAACGGGTATTGCTGTCAGCTCTCTATGCTCATAGGATTCTATGAGCAATTTTATAATGTGTCAGTTTGGCTAATCTGGAACTACGTTTCCCAGAGTCACGGTCCCTGTATGGTTCTAGATTATAGTTAACCAAAAGAGATATTTTCACAAGATTTGTACAGGAGAAGTGAAGCAGTAGCCATTTGGTCATCATGGTTAGAGGCGGCGAGAGACAAATGCAGGGACGCTCCCGGATTCTAGCTTACCGTGGCTCTCCCTGACTCTGTGACTAGCTGTTTCTAACTCATTTCTCATTCTGCTGACCAGTAGGGATCCCAGGCCCCGCACTGGATCTAGAGCAGTCTTCCACCAGCTCTCCTTCACCAGCTCTCTCTCTCTCTGGGAGTCCAAGGAGGAAATGACCGTATTCTTCTGTGGGGATCCACAAAGGCTTCAAAGAAGAGATCCTTCCTTCTACAGTCCCGCTGGCTTCCAGAGAAGAGCACCCAATGGGAGCATGAGGACCAAAAGGCTGCTCAGCGCCGGCCGGTGCACGCACCAGGAGCCTCCTGTCGAGCCCTTCACCGTTTAGCGCAACTTCCTACTCCAGAGCCACGAGACTTCATGACTTCCCATACACGAGGCCCCATAGTGGTACAAAGAGAAGTACAGAGTCCACGGGCACAGTAGCAGTATTTTTCTTCATTTCTCTAACACGTGATTTTTAAATTTAGGCTTCCTTTCCACCAGATGACAGAAACTATCCAAAGCTATTTGGTGACTCCCTCCGGATTACCTACCTTTCCACTGGAGTTGTGTTCAAGTGCACATCCCGTCACCACTGTAACTGCCCTCTAGATCCCTCCACTTCCCCTCTAACCTCTCCCTTCAGCTTGGGAAGTCTTTTTCAAGTCTGAGAGTGGCAGGCTGGGGCGGGGAAGCCTCTGTCCTACTCGTTGCCATGTTCTCTTTTAAATCTGTGGTCTATGCACTAGTCCTGCTGTTCACACTGTCCTGAACCGCAGGAGACTCCACTTTTCTCTGCTTTCAGCTGCCATATCCCTTCCAGAGACAGTGATCACAGAACTGCTGAGCTAACTAAATTGAAAAAGGGTCAAGGATCAAGACAGACCTGGGAAAAAAACATAGATGGATTTTTTTGTTTTTGAGACAGAGTCCCACTCTGTTGCCGAGACAGGAGTGCCGTGGAGGGATCTTCCGCCTCCCAGGTTCAAGCGACTCCCTGCCTCAGCCTCCTGAGTAGCTGGGACTACAGGAACACGCCACCGTGCTCGGCTTTTTTGTAAAAAAAAAAAAAAAAAAAAAAAAAAATGGGTTTCACCATGTTGGCCAGGCCGGTCTTGAACTCCTGACCTCAAATGATCCGCCAGCCTCGGCCTCCCAAAGTGCTGGAATTACGGGTGTGAACCACTAAGCATGGCCATACATGGATATTTCAAAGGACACCATTTCACCATTCCAACTAATGAAAAGATTTAAAAATCATTCACATTAAAGTGTCAGTGACATAATATTTTATCAACAGTCACATTCTTAAAATGAAAAAAAAAAGTAAGAGCGTAAAGGTAGAATTTTACTCATCAGCTGTTGTGAGGGGATTTGGTGGGAAGGTGGAGGAATCTTTTTTCTCCTAAATCCAGACACATGCTGGTTTGCCATTCTGTAGCAGACCCCTGTGCCTTTCTGACATGCCCCTCATCCTGCTACACTTTGCTCCATGCCTGGGGGCCCAATTTTCCATATTTATTTTTAATATTCTTTTTTTAAGCCACACTATTTCCTTTTAAAGAAAAGCTATCTGCATGGTGGCAAAGATTAAATCTTGTGTGCATATCTGATTCTCTGAAGAAATTTTTTTCATTTTCTTGAATGCATTCAAACCATTGCTTTATTCCATTTAGTTTAATCCGATGGTTCTCAAAGCAGCATTTGTGTCACCTGAGAACTTGGTAGCAATGTAAATTCTTGACCTTGACTGGAGACTTACCGAATTAGCAATCAATGTTTTAACAAGAAGCCCTTCAAGTGATTCTAATGCCCATTGAAGTTTGAGAACCACTGGCTTGACCTATTAATGACTGCAATCAGCAATATGTGTTGACTGTTTACTGCAGAGAGGCTGGAAATAGCCACAGACCCAAATGGTGCTTCCCAGGCCTTGGAGAAATCAGAATGCAACCTGCTCTGAAGCCAAAACAAATTAAGAATACATAGAGCATAGACAAGATTCTCCTCTGTAGACTGCACACTCCCTATAAAGTTTGTTATATATGAGCCTGTTAGGATTTTTCCAGTTGCAAGGAACAAAAACTCAAGACATTTAAGCAAAAATGGGAGACCTATTTTTTTCAGGTGAGCTCATTGGTCTAAGATCTTTAGCCCCTTTTCGCTTAAATCCTATGATTATACATTATTAAAGTATCAATAATTAATACTTTAAAATCACTGTATTTCTGGGTGAAATGAAAATTAATAATCCAGCAATTTTGAAACCAAGAAGCTGAAATTCATCTTGAATATATACAATTTAACAAATCTTAAAAATAGGGATCTAAAGGAGTTTTAAGAAAACATTTTTTGACATGACAATCTTCATCCAGCCTGATTTTCAAAAATCAACCAAAAAACTATGCTCCATTTGCAAAGCAATTTGTCTTCTCCAAGCATATTTCAGGCTGGAGAATAAGAGATGTAACAGACACTCAGAGGGGCAGGAAATGCTTTTTCCCTTGCATATATTAACGTCATTTACAACTACGATTGTGGCGCCATCTTGAGTTCCTGAGAAGGATAGACGACTGAAATGTTCACAGACTGGATTATAAAAGAACTGAAGGAATTGTAAACAAAATCCAAAAGACCCGTAAGTGATTAAGAATGAAGGAACATGAAACGGAAGCCTGAATAAATGAACCCAAAAAATACTCTGCAGATTTCTGCAACTCTACCTGTGATGGCCTCTCTAGTCCATAGCCAGAGCTCCCACCCCAGATCCTGCTACTTCAGCTGTGGTCTGGGACAACAGCTTTAGCGTCACTTGAAAACTAGTTAAAAATCGAGATTCTTGGGCCCAATCCCAGAGCTAATGAATGATGATCTGCATTTTCCAGGTAGTTTTTATGCACACTGAAGTCTAGGAAACTGCTCTCTATGCCTTCCTTCACAAAGAGGGTAGCGGCGGTGGGATGGAAAAAGGAGACAGGCACCCCACCAATGGACAGAACTGCAGTCTTGAGAAGATGAAATGTATTAAACTTAAATATCAGCAAGTTATGAATCCAAGCCATAAGAAAAGGCAGAGCCGTGATCATATTAAAAATACTACACGTTTTTCAAAGACAATACTTTGAGGACCTCTGTCTTAATCCACAACTTACTAAAGACCAAACGCTTTCTTGCCTGGATTCCACTGATCATGCTCCTTGCTTCTACCAACTCAGCAAGACTGTAATGTTTCCTGGATCTCACCAAGGAGCTTTCCTCTTCCTGGATTCCCACTGCATTCTCCCCACTTCCTTATTATACTCTTCTAACTCTTACTATTGTACAAAACGGTTGTCCACCCATTGTAGCCCCTTTTCTGGATTGTCATTTCCTTGGCAAGAACCATACTTAAGCATTTGAATTCACTTGTTTGTTCAGTAATTTATTCTAGTACTAAGCACCTACTACATGCCTGACACTATGGATTTGATTAAAATATGAAACATATAATCCCAACTTTTGTGGAGCTTACGTATTTGTAGAGTTGAAATGTCAATTGCAATAGAACATAAACATTATGTTAGGTAAAGTAGGGTGTTTTGGGGAACTTACCTGGAGCCACCTAACTTGGGTCTGGAAGGGTTACCTACAATCTCAGCTGAAGGACACAGAGTTAACCAGGCAAGGTGGGGGGAAGTACAAAGTGTTCCAGGAAGAGGGCATGCCAGCATCATTAAAACATAATCTTGGTCATAGATAATGCCAAAAATAAATGTGTTTGACAAAATTTGGAGTTTTGTATTGTCTCAAGCATTCCAGTCAGTCACTTGGCAAACTGGCTGGCTATTTAGAGTTGAACCAGTTATCTTTTTGAGAGAGAGAGATGGCTTTCAAAGTATTGCCTATAACTATTTTTGTTTAGAATAACTGCTACTTTTGAAAAGCATTTTCAAACCCAGACCCCAGAGCTTGCTATTCCACTCTAAGAACTAGCAAAAAGAGCTTTACCTGAGTTAACAGAAATTTCAAAGAAATTAAACATCATGGAATTAAACTTGGAAGCTGAACCCTCTGTTAAGTCAGGAATGGTAAGTAACACTCTAAAAATTGGGGTTGTCTATTTTCCCTTATTATGTCAGTTTCTATGATTGAGCCTATGCTATTAGGTATATACAAATTAAGAAATGTTACACTGTTTGATTGACCTTTATCATTATGAAGTGTCCCTCTTTATTTCCAGAAATACTCACTGTCCTAAAGTCTAATTTGTCTGATATTAGAATATTTATCTAATAAAAGATTCATATCCAGAATATAGAATATCTGGAATAATAGAATATTATTTGAAAGAGGGCCCAGAGACTAAATAGGCACCTTAAAAAAAAGAGGACATCTAGATAGCCAATAAACATTAAATGAGTTCAACCTCATTAGTTATCAGGGAAATGCAAAATGAAACCACAATGATGGCTGAACATACATTAAGTAAAAATAAAAATTTTTTAAAAAGACTTGGGAATATCAAGTCTTTGCAAGGACTAGGAAGACCAGAATTCTTCCACGCTTATGGTGGCAGTGTAAAAACTGAACAACTTTGGCAGTGCCAAAGCTGAACACATTCCATTCCATAAATGCACACACATGTGCACCCAAAGACATGCATAAAAATATTTCTAGGAAGTGTTCCTAACAGGTCCAAACAGAAAACAACACAATGCCCATCAATGGGAAGAGGAATAAATAGCCTATTCACATACAGATGCTGCTGGTCTTACAATGGAGCTGCATCCCAATAAACTCACAGTAAGTCAAAAATACGTTAAGTCAAAAAATGCACTTGACGTCCAGGTAAACCCATCATAAAGCTGAAAACTTCTAAACTGAACCCTCTGTTAAGTCAGGGATGGTCTGCAATTAACCATTACACAGCAATAAAAGTGAAGGAACTATTTTGACACTTACCATGGATCAATCAGCCTCACAATACTGAGGGAAAGAAGTCATATACAAAAGGGTATCTAATATATATAAAGTCCAAAAACAGGCAAAACCAATTTATGTGATAGAAGTCAGGAGCTAATAATTGGAAGAGAACAAGAAGGAGCCTTTAGTGCTATAACAATGTTCTATTTCATTTGGTGTTTGGGTGTGGTTACGAATGTGTACGCTTTCTTAAAAATTCAGAGCCTAAATTTGTCGTTTTTGTACATATACTACAATAATATGTTTACACATTTAAAAAATGATTTAACTATATGAGGGGATGTGGCAAAAAAAAAAGGTGGTAGGGAATGTCTAAAATTGATAAACCAAGAAATAGCTATGAAGGCATATTGTTTAAAAAAATGAGATGCAATTACACCGACTAGAAGAGTTTAAAATCATTGTTCCTAAGGTTTGAAGGGGATTGCTTTTCAGTTGTTTTGGCACTTTCTTAAAGTGACATGCATATGCTATGTATATGGAAATGGTCAGAACATTCCAATTCTTCACAAAGGAAAAATCACTAACGTAGGTTTAAAAAAAAAAGAGACAGCTTCCTGCAGCTAACAATGTCAAAGTCCATCTGTTAGAAGAAAATTCATCCTGCTTCTCAGCACAAATTATGATTTTAAACACCAAGTTTAAAAGTTAAAACTTTACATAAGGTAATGACAGATGCTATCGTATCACCGGTTTTAAGCCAAATGTTAATCATTCAGAAAGGGGGGAAAGAGACAAATGCTAGATATATTTTATTCTATTAATGCAAAACAAACTACCATCGCTGTTTCATACTTCTCATTACATAAAAACTTGTTATGAGAACACAGTGATATGTCTTGGTATGCAGCATGGTGCTCATGGATGAAAGTTCTTATTCTTTGCTTTATTCTTCGGATTAAACTACCATTTCCCAGTGTAGTTTCTGGAAGGTGTTCATAGGAATTACGTAGAAAAAGATGTTCCGTGGTCAATCACGTTTTGGAACCAATGGATTTCTTTATTGTGGGTCTTCTAAGAACCACCATTACATAATGTGATTCTCCAGAAGGATCTTCCTCTGTGCCT